TTTATTTATTTATTTATTTATTTATTTATTTATTTATCTGAGAGAGAGAATGGGAGACAGAGAGCATGAGAGGGGGAGGATCAGAGGGAGAAGCAGACTCCCCGCTGAGCAGGGAGTCCGATGCGGGACTCGATCCCAGGACTCCAGGATCATGACCTGAGCCGAAGGCAGTTGCTTAACCAACTGAGCCAGCCAGGCGCCCCTGTTTTCTTTCCTCTTTAACCAAACGGAACAGGCTTCGGGCTCAGGTCTGGGTGGAGTTGAATTGCCAAGTTGTTTGTGTTGTATGTATTTTTAGTTATTTTCTACCTGTGGCCTGTTTTCTGGTTTTCTATAGATGGCTGTGATGTTAATTTTTCTGTTTGAACAAATTTCTTTTTTTAAACATAGATTGATTTAAAGATCCCTCTTGAGTGCGTAAGAGCACAAAAGAGTTGGGGATTCAGCCACAATATCAACAGTGTTTTGGGAATGAAAGAAATTGGGGGAATTGAGTGGAAATAGAGAGCATGTGTCCCAACGAGAAGGGGGCCCCGGCCTCATACTCCCACTGTCACGACTACGCACGGCCCTGACCCACCTGGGCCTGAATGGGAGGAAGCCGGCCATGGGTCTCTAAGCTCTCACCTGGCTTCTCCACACCTGGCACCCTCCCAGGCACACAGGAGATCCTTAATAAGTATCTGTTGGCCAAATGAATGCATGGAAAAAGAATAGGTAGATGAAATTTGGAGTAGACTCTATCATTTCCAAGACGAATGTCAAAGTGTTGTCCGAGATTGAAATGCTTTTGGAGATCATCCAGGGCCATCCCTTCACTGCGCAGGTGAGAAACAAAGGCCCTGGAAGGAGAAGGTATTTGCCCAAGTCACAGAGTCAGCGTCTGGGCAAAGCAGGGCCGGGAACTAGGGCTTCCTGCCTGTCATATCCTCTTCAGCGCACCAGCTTGTCACCTCTGGTGTGTGCCCACATGAATGACCTCAGCCTGGGCAGACAGGAAACCAGCCTCCTGACATCCCACATGCATTTGGAAAGCCACCTGCTCGGAAGCCACACAAAGGCTTTCTGCATTATGTGGAAGGTCAAGCTGGATCACATCAAAGGGGTTCTGCAGTGGGGTTCTGACGTTGGACACTTCCCTTCTTGGCCGGAGCTAATCCTTCTCATATCATCAAGTATGCTCCTGGTGGGCATCTCTGCAGCTCCAGAAGTCTCCAGAAGCTGATCGTGCAACAGAAGCCATGGAGAGCAGAATCGCCAAATCTCCTATCTCAGCAGTGAGTGTCAACTTCGCAGTGAGGCCGATCTGACCACCGCCAGCACACCGGCACCTCCAACCACCCTTCCCTGCTTTACGTAATGTTCTTACACATTTGTTAACCCTATGGTGTATTGCATGCCTCCATCTACTAGCTGGGAACCTCCGCAAGGGCAAGGAGCTTTGTATGTTTTGTTCACCGATGTGTTTCAACCCCACAGTGGCACAGGGTGGATACTCTGCAAATATTTGCTAGATGGGTGGATGGACAAATGAAAACCGAAATACTCAGAGGACTTGCATTTAGTCTCCTATCTGCGGCTCTCCAGCCCTGGGAACGTGGGCAAGTTATGTGGCCTCTCCTGAGCCTCGGTTTTCTCATCAGTAGAGTGAAATGGTCCCACCAGCTTGAAGGGTTGGTGGGTCGGTGGGTCGGCGGGTCAGTGGAAAAGCCTACGCAGCGCCAGTCCCATGGGAAGCAGGTAGGAAGGGTTGCTTACTTCAAAGGCAAACTCCATGTACTCATTTATTCATTTGTGAGGTCGGTCAGTCCACAACAGGTGGCCCGTGAAGGCTTCTTAGAAGAGGTAGGAGTCAGTCTTTTCTGGAAGCAAGAGTACCATTCTGAAAGGAGCTGGCGAGCATGGCAGAGAATGGGGAACAAGGAGAGCGCCGGGCAGGGCAGGCTGGAGCCGCGTGAGCCAGTCAGTGCAGGGAGGTGCAGGGAGGCGCAGGGAGGCGCAGGGAGGTGGTGAGGCAGAGCGTCTGCTCGGCAGAACCACGGGAGGGCGCTGGCCATGTCTGGAGCAAGGGTGACAGCAAGGGTAGTCTGTCTTCTCAGCAAACACACACTGAGTGTGTTCTCTGTGGCCTGGCCTGGGAACTGGGGCCAGGGGATACCCGGTCTGCAGCCAGAGGGACACTTACAACACACGAGTGTGCCTGAGTCATCCTCCAGTGAAACACCAGTGACAGCTCACCATAGTTCTTCGGTTAAAGCCCAGCATTCCCCCTGGGGCCCTGACGCCCCAGCCTACATCTCCAGCCTCACCGCCCACCTCCTCCTGACTTATTTTGTTGTGCTGGCCACATTAATCTCATTTCAGTTTCTCGGCCCTGCCAACTTCCCACCCCAGGGCCTTTGTACATGTTGCTCCCCCGTGCTTGGTAGTCTTCCTCTGCTACCACTCCAAGTTCCTCCCCTCTTCTTTTTCTCCCCCATGATAGAGTTTATTTCTGTAGTGCACAATGAATATATGGCTGCGAAGGTAGGAAATCATATAAAAAATATTTAAGATTTGCAGTGGTCGTTCTTAGAACAAAGTCGGTTAAAGGGAAGATCAGTCAAGCACTAGAGCTTATGGAAGACCAGCCAGCATTTTCTAGATTGTGAACTACACCGGGACAAACATACCTGTATGTGGGCTTAATTAATAGTGGCAGTTCAAGAACAGATAAGCTCCCAGGATTCGGAGCTCTCTCAGCCTTGTTGGAGTCCCCAGCCTGGGTCAGACCCCTGTTCCATACCCTCGAAGGCCCTCATGGCTTTCTCTCATCATGCTCACTGGAGCTCGTGATCAGAAATGCACAGGGGTGCTGATGCGACTTGCAACTTATTTCTCCCACTGGGTATTAATGACATGAAGGCAGGAACCAGGTCTGCTTGGATCAGTAACTAGTGCACGGATTGCCACCCCATAAATCATTGTTTAATGCGGGATTGATTGCAGCCCACATCGAGGTGGAGGGGAAATTCAGACCCAGGAGCCATGGAGGTGAGTGCTTTATTGAAGGGCTGCTTGGAAGTTGCCAGAAAGGTAGAGAAGATCTCATAACGATGTCATAATGGACTGGGCGTTAAAGGATGAGCAGGAGCTCGTCAGGCAGGATGAGAGCCTTCCCAGTAGAGGGGACAGCACAGGCAAGTGCCTGGAGCACCGTTTTTTAGAAAAGAGCTGGTCACCTCCGGGACGTGAGTGAGGGCAGCAGAAGACCGTAGCTCTGGCTCTCTGCCGAACACCTGCTACGTGCCAGGCTCGATGTCTACGCAGTGCCGTGTAACCCTCAGAGCTCCTCACCGCCCTGGGGTAGGTATTACTACCCCCTTTTAATAAATGGGGCTCCGAGGAGTTAAGTGACATGTCCAAGCCACCCAGCTATTCAATGGCCGACCTGACTATCGCATGTCCCCGGTGGCTAATGTTGCAGACCTGAGCTGACCACTGAGCATTTCCGTGTGTGTCCAGTGTCTGCCCACCCCCACCCCGCCCCCTCAGGCTGGTGCAGGGTCTCAGCCTTCTCTGTCTCCCTCCCTCTCAAAGAGGGGTGCTTACTCTGGTGCTCTCCCATCTGAGCCCTTACCACACTGTAAACCAGCCTTCTCTGCCAGCCTGTGTAGGGGCTGGGTCTCCAGGGCCCTGGGGGTGCCCAGGATGGAGGAGGGGGTGTTTATTGAATACTCACAAGCCGAAGGGGCCTAGGGGGGGCTCTCGTACCTGGGAGAGGAGCTCAGGAAGGACCAGCGGGGTCCCCAAGTCCACATGGAACCCGTTCCTGCCCTAACCCAGAAGACCAGTGTTTTTGGCCGTGGCTAACCGCGTGACCATAGGAAAGTCACTTCATTGCTCTGCATATGGATCTGTCACATGGATGTCCGTTCTGGCCGCCCACAGGGGAGCTGTGACCAGAACACAAAAGGCACAGTGAGCTGTGAATTGCTAGGCACACCCAGGAGGTGACAGCTGATGCCGGCTCAGGCTTAGTAGTGCCAGGCCAGTCGGGGGCCCCTCCTCTCAAACACTTCGGGCAGCGGGGATTCATGGCAAGAGGCAAAGGAATCAGCTGCAGGCAATGAGGGCTCCCTGTGGCATGATCAGGCGCCCCCTAGTGGTCATGGGCAGACCCTGCAGGGCCACGTTTTCCAGGGCAGGCGCAGGGACCCCATTCACTCTTCAGCTGAGCTTGCTAACAGGTCCAAACCCCAGACTCTTCTTGGTGGGCTCTGGAATCAGGCAAACCTGGCAATGGATCCTAGCCACTTCTACTCCAGGCTCCATCCCTCTAATGCCGGGCCAGCCCCACCTCCGCTTTGCCATCTGATTGGATGCCTGGCTGAGCCCAGCAAACTCCCATGTGGACCCTGCGGGGACATGACTTTGTAGCTCACATACCAAAGACCCAAGGCTAGGGGCTCACCAAGCGGAACTAGCTTTTCTAAAGTAGCGTGCTAGTTTCTTCAGAGCCCCAGAGTGGAGTATCCCTGTCTTCCTTTCAGGAATACAGAAATAGAGGCTCCGAGGAGATATGTGGCTTTCCCAAAGACACTTTGTTCCTAAGATTTGAACCCAGGTCTCTCTCACTCCAAAGCCCAGGTACTTGCCTTGTCTCATAGCTTCTCCAAATTATCCACCAACAGCCAGCAGAACTGGGGGTGTTTATTAAATCACAAAGCCCCTCTGCCTCTCCGGGGAGAGAAGATCACAACCATCCAAGTGGGTGGGGGTGGGGCATCTAAGCCCAGTGACGCTGGACCGGGCAGGGAGGGGGCTGAGGGAGGATGGGGACGGGGTGGGGGTGCACAGGAGCCCCCAGAGCCAGCGGCGCTGCCTGTTTGGCTGGTGGTCTTGGGAGCTCATGAAGGTGTGGGATTAGATTAAAAGGTCCTGGGATCCCAATTTGAGGCAGATGAAACATTTTCAGTCCCAGGCTGCCGCTGGGGCCCGCAAGGAGCTGGAACGCCCCCTTATTCCCCAGTAGGATTAGCAATCTTTCCCAAGAAGATGATGGTGGGCAGGACGCTATCCCTAATAAACACCAGAAAGGGTTTGTTCAGCTTGATGGAGAGCGGCGTCTCCATGGGCAGCATCTGGGCTCCGGAGCCGGCCGCACCCTCTGTACCCTTCTCATCCATCTTCAGCACCGCCTCATGCACCGCCTGCGGGAATCAGGATCGAGGTCAGTGTCGCCAAGCCACTCTGGGCCAAGGACAGTGAGAGGCCCAGAGAGGGAAAAGCCTCAGCCAGGGTGGCCCAGCACAGCAGTAACCTGGCTGGTGCCAGGCGCCCCAGGCTCCTTCTGCTGTCATTGCCGGGAGGATGCGAGACAAGCAGACTCAGCGTGAAGGGACCAATGCGGCTGGGGGAGCCTCAGCTGCAGCAGGGAGGATGGAGTGGGGTGCGCTATCCTTCCATGAATTACAGGGAAGTGCCGAGCAGCATAATGGCAGAAAGAGTCTGCGGAACCTTAGCTAGATGGAAGGGACGTGGTGAGGTCCCCACCAGGAAGTTTCCAGTCCTGCTCACATTCCTCTTAGCTTCCTGGGGGATGGTGAGAAAGGAACCAAATGGGAGGGGGGGCATCAGAGATGACTGAGATGTCAGATCTACCCTAGGGCACCCACATCTGTGACGCAGTGATTCACCCTAGGACATGGAAGTTTCTGCACATACTGATGCATTTCATTCCATTCTACAAAATCCTAACAATTTTACTAGCAGGCCAGCCAGGAGCCATTGGCAATCACAGCCATGGGCACACCTAACTGCAGAAAAGAAATGAGCCATGGAACTGAGTAAAGGCCCCCGGAAAGGGGTAGCTGGCACTGACTATTTATGGGAAGTCTATGTTAAAAGGGAGAAAATTCTACTGTTTTTCTTCCTCTTGCAAATTGGAAAATAAATCTGAATCAGTGCCTACTGGGATCTCTCCCAGACTGGCTCGAACTTCCCACTTAGAACACGCCGATCCCCACTGCCCATGATGCCAAGCTCTCCCCCATCCCAGCCTCTGGCCATGCTGCTCCCCCTACTGGGAGATCCTCCCCACACCTACCTCTGCTCCTTGCAATCTCCCCACCCCCAATGCCCTTTTAACCTAAAAGTAGGGTTGCCAGGTGAAATAGGGGATGGACCATTAAATTTGAATTTCAGATAAACGATGAATATCTTTAGTGTAAGTCTATTCCCTGCAATATTTTGGACTAAAGAAATGATTGGTCACTTGCCTGAAATGCGAATTTAACTGGGTGTCCTGTATTATATCTGCTCAACCTGGGGACCCTACCCCATATGGTCCTCTCTGCCCCCAGCCGGCAGGTGCTCAGCCTTGCTGAAAACCCCGGGGCCCATGGCTGGTTCATCTCTTGGTCATGCACATGTTTGCAACTCACTCCCAACAAGCCCGTGAGGTCTTTGGGAGAGGCTCTGGGTCAGACCTAGACTGGTTCTAGGACCAATAAATGTGCCAGGCCTTGATCACTTGTTTGTTGCACAGAATCGACCTCCAAAATGGGACCAGGAGCTTAAAGACTGGAAACATGAGGCTTGGGGAAGTGATGTGATTGTCCCAGAGTGACAAGGCTGGTGAGGGACAGTGCTGGATCGGTGCCCAGCCTGCCTGGCAGGACCAGACCCGGCTCATTCAGCTGCTGGGACAGTGGCTCTGGCCCAGGGCTGCAAGAAGGCTCCCTGCAGGTGGGGTGGCATCCGGGCCGGGCAGGCTTACCTTACCCACTTTCAGGCTTTGATGAGGGGTGATCCGAGTGAGATGACCATGCTCCTCAAAGATTTTGGTGATACCCAGGTAAGAGAGCATCTTCTTCAGGTCATAGTTACCAGTGATGGAGAACCTGGGCAGGGACACGTCTACGACCCTGGGGAGATGGGGGTGACAGGTGAGTGGCAGGGTCTCCTTGCTTTCCTGGGCAGGCCGCAGGAGAGGTGATGAATGGGACCTTGGTCTTCCCAGCCCCAGAGGTCTCAGACCCTCTCTTTGTCCCCACAATGAGGAGGGACTCTGACCCCGGGACCCAGGCTTCAAAACACCTATGATCTCTGAACTGTGTCCGTTCTTCCTAGCATACCCTCCCCAGAGCCCTCACCCACAGAAATGGTCTCAAGTCCCCACTGTTTCAGGGCCCCTTTGGTTGCAGACACAGAGGTGTCGTCCCCTTCACAGTTCTGGCCTTGGCCAAGCCCTGAGCCAGTCCTGACCCAGCAGGCTGGATGCCAGAGGCCGCAAGGGCCTGGGATCTGAAACCAGGTAGAACTGAGCTCAAATGCATTCTGACTCTCATGAGCTCCGTGACGTGGAGCAAATGATCTCCCCTCCCTAAGCCACTTGGGCGAAACGATGGTGCTAATCACAGCAGACGGGGCAGTAAAAGTGTAAAGCAAATGCATGTGGGCGCTCAGGAGTCCCTGACCAGCAGGTGTTCCTCCTTCTGTCCTTGAGTTAGCAGCTTCACATCCTCCGTGGGTGGGACCCGATGGGCCTCCCCGCCGTGGGAGCTGGGATCAGTGGTCCCGGGAAACCTGTGGACCCTGGGTTCCTGTCTCCCTGGCCCTGAGCCCTGTTTCTTCTTGCCTATCCAGGACCTCGCCCCTGCCTGCATTCCTCTCTGTTCTGCGCCATCCATCATGAATGGTGTCTGCCTGATCACCCTCAGGAGGAGACCATGTTCTCCGATAATTGATATCCTACAAAACAAGAGCAAACACATCTCCACTGGCCCCAAGTCACTTCTCCAGCTTCCAGCCCATTCCTTTTCTTTCTTTCATAGCAGAAAGGAGTTGTCTCTGCCAGAGATCTCCACTTCCTCCCACAACTGCCGCAGCCTACTCCACTTGGTTCTTTGCCCTCCACCTTCCACTTTCCAGGGCCACGGCTGAGCTCAGCTTGTTTGACCCAAGAGACAGCTCTCAGAGAGTGGATCCCCTTTTTCCACCTTGAAGCATTCCAACCCAAGTCCATCTTCCCCTCCTTCACCGGCCACTCCTTCGCTCACCCTCTGCCAGAACCATCTCATCGCCCACCTGGACTGTCTGTGATCCTCCAAGCCTCACCCCTCGGTCCTCTTCTCTTCTGTCTTTCCTCCCTCCAGAGGAACCTCATTCAGTGTCATGGCTTTAAATACTGGCCATTGGCCCAATGATTCCCAGACTTACCTTTCCACTCATTCATTCGCTCAACAAATTAAGTGCCTCCTCTCTACAAATCGGATGCTTAGATGCATGTGTGAACAGAAGAAGCATAACCCGTGCCCTTGGGTGCGTGCTCTAGCAGGGAAGACAGACAAGAAAGTCCATACGATGAAAAGCATCCCGTAATCATCGATACATAGACTGGGAGTCCGTGTATAAGAAGACAGTGCGTGCAGTGGAGAAAAATACAGATCAGCTTGGGGGTATCAGCAATGCTGAGGTTCTCTAAAGGAGAAACTCTAAAGGAGGCAAAGGCGTCAGGCAAGCTGGGTCGTTTCTTTTGAGTGAAATGAGCTGCCAAGGAGACTGGTGGTTTCCCGCCTGTGCCCTACAGTTTCCGAGTTCACAGAGGTGTCTTGGGGAATGAGGGGTATGCGAGGTGAAGGGAAAGGGGGGTCCACTCCCTCTACCCCCACTTTATCCACAAGTCCTGGCTTCATGCAATGTGGGCTCCGTAAGGTCACATTTCCTTTAGGATTCAAATTATGATGACTTGAGACCCTCCAGTTGGATTAGGGGGACTCAGCATCCTCATCTCCAAGTTATTCCTGCCAATTTCCCATGGGGTGCAGCTCTGGGGCCGGCAAGTGGTACTCCATGTTGCTGTGCCAAGCCCCTCTGCAGCCCTCGGGGCCAAGACTACCGCCAGACTGGGTTTGTAGCAGGGAGGATCGGGGGATGCTGTGCAGACCCCAAGCCTAGCAGCCCTCTTGGGATGACCTGCCATGTAGCCTGCTGCTTCTCCCCATCCCCCTAGTACAGCGACTTTATCTGCAGCATTCAGAACCAGAATTTCTCTTTTATGGAGCTTTTGGCTCAATTGAGATATCCAAGATGTGTTCTGTGTGGTAGAGCACCCACTGCAGCCCAGCTCTGTCCTAGCATCCTATCTACCTCCCCTAGAACCCTCCCTGGCTCCCAACAGCGTGTCAGCCATGGCAGAAGCTCTTGGTAAAGACCTGTTGGGTGGAGAACAGGGGTGAGGGCAAGGCAGAAGAGAGAGTATGCAGAGCAGGGAGGAGGCCATCCCAACACCACTCCTACCCAAGTCAACCCTGAGAGCCCCAGCCCTGACCCTTCTCAAGAAAATCGACTGGTCAGCAAGTGCCTGAGAAGAATTCTGTTGGCTCATCTTAAATCTGTTCTAATTTTATGGTTTCTTTTTTAAAATATTGACTTTGGTCAATTTGGTCAATAAGGACTTTGGTCCTTCAACTATTATAACTTATCTGGAGCACACTTTGCTGGTTTTGTTGTGATATTACAGTTGAAAACATGATTCCGTGTACAATAAACAGCTCCCTCTGACAGCCGTGGTTGTCCTCGTGGTTCCTTTCTGCCTGGGATTCCATGACTCCTCTTCCGTCCCCACGTGCCACTGTTGGGCCTTGAAGACTTAGCTCCAATGCTCCCTGCTCCGTGGCGCCCCCCTCTGCCACCACCACCACCAGGGACCATGGTTTTGCTCTGCCCACTCTACTCTCATGATATAAGCATCTCCCTCTACAAGCAAGAGCTTCACTATATTCCTGTGACTTGTCTTCTGGTCTACTTCCTACCAAAACACAAGTTCATCATGGAGCGCAGAATAGGACTTGGCCATGGGGTCAGAGCTCAATAAATCTGGGCTAGAAGAAGCAAAGAGTGGAAGGGAAGGCAGGAAGAAGGAAGCAGCTGCATATGCCGGGCCCCCTCATACCTTCGTGTGACTAATTTCTTCCATCTGTCAAGAGTGTCCCTCTTCAAGGCCGCCTCCACATTCTTCATTTTGCCCTCGTCAGGAAGGATGAAGGTGGCAGTGATGGTGCCCTGATAGGGCATTTCCAGAACAGTGCAGGAGAGCTGTTTATCATAGCCGGCTTCATACATGCCCCCATGGAACATCATGGGCACCTTCACTCGCTTGTTTCCATCCAGAATGAAGTCTTCCTCTTTAGTTGCTTTTGGATCAAATTCATGTTGCCACTTGGCTTAGGAGTGAAGAAAGACAAAGTGGCATGAGTGTCCCGAAAGGGAAGGGTTGACTGGACCCAGGTAAGCACTGGTCTCTGTCCACATGGATTCAAGGAGGGCATTTGGATGCTCTGGGATGTCAGGGCAGGTCTCCAGGAATCCTTGCTCTTTGTGCCAGGCCCTGGAAACTCCTGGTAAGATGGGCATGGGTCTGATTGTTCCCAAAGTAGCCACGACCAGGGCTGCTAAGCTGAGAGGGTACCGTGGACTGCCTGAAGCCCAGGTGCTCCTGAGGCTGAGAGAACCCGCAGATTGTGTTCCAGCAGAGAGGTCTGGGTGATACTTAGTGGGAGTTATTTGGGTCTGGTGTGAGTGAAAAATACTCGATTCTAAGTCAGGCCTGGAGTAGCTGCTCTCATGTAGGAATGAGAAAACCAATGGAACAGGCTGCTCTTGGGAACCTGCTGAAGAGCAGCAAACACTCAAAGCTGAGTGTTTGGACCCCTCCTTTTTCACCCTAGGAACTCTTTGATGCCATTGGGCATAAACTTGGACCTGGGTCTTTTCGCACCTGCCAACCTCAGAGCCCCCAGTAGGGGGCCTGAGGGCCAAGTCCCTGAATTCAACTCTGGCTTCACTGTTGTGAAAGGATGACCTTAGACAAGTGTCTTAACCTCTCTGGACTTCAGTGTCCTTGTCTGAAGAATGAAGATTTTGATGGGTACCTCATAAGGCTGCTGTGTGGCTGAGTGGGAAAGGCAGGACAGCTCAGTGACCTTGTACAGTGAGTGTTGAGTGGATGCTAGTCATCATCAGCCTCACTGTTGCCATTGCTTTTGCAATCTAAGTGATGTGGGGACTTTGGAAAACTCCAGATTCTCTTCTCTCCCTCTGCTCTTTTCCTCTATGCCATCAGTCTCACTGTGGATTTTGGGAGAACTGAACTTCTGTATTCAGGACCATGTCCCTGACAGCCCAGCAGAGATCTGGCCTGACCTGAGGCCTGTTGGCCTCTGATTCTCCCCCACCCTGGCCAACCTTTGTGTGTGCATGGGGCAGGTGAGTGGGGGAGTGTGGTAGGTGGGGAGGGTTGAAGCTTGGATTTGGGAATATTTTTTCATCTTTTTTTTAGTCTCTCACCCTCAGACTTGGGCAATCAATAGAATGTGACAAGGAGGCCAATGCATCCACCAAAATGAACATCATCATCATCATCACCAACACAATCACCGTCCTGGGTATCTACTTGGACTAACATAAAGTGCACAGCCGATGGGTCAATAGAAGTGAGTTCTAGTCCTGGCTTTGTAACTCTAAGTCCATTCATCTCTCTCCGTGTTACACTTTCCTCATCTAAGAAATGAGGAAAAGAAAGTCACTCCAACCTCTACAACCAAAGTTGTGTTAAGATAATCAGTACTAATGAAAATGCACATATGGAGAATAATGTAGACTTCCCCAAATTCATTTCTCATGCATTTTTACTTTGAGTCCCAACAACTGCCCTAGGAGTTACATATAAAGGCATTCATTTTACATAGGACAAGTGAGGTTCCGAAAGATTAATTATATATGAATTCAAGGTCGCAGAGCAAGCACGTGGCCAACCAGGTCTTTAATCCAAGTCTACTGGAAATCCTATCCTTTCCATACCAACATGCTCCAAGCCTTACCTCGAAAGAAAATGCAATTTGTAAGAAGCATCAAAGTGCCAGGGGTTATATTCTTGATCAGGTTGTTGATTTTCCCCTGGGTTTTCTGACTGACATAGTCATTGATCTGCTTCCGAGTATCTTCCAAGTTCTGGAAGTTGGTGGGGACAGTGTCTGCATTGTACAGGTTCTTGGCATCTGTCAGAAACTTCTTCTGTGGCTGTAGCTTCTCGTCGATGAACAAGGTGTTTTTAAGGTCCAGCTCGAGGTGCTGGCTCCCCTGGTTCATCCTGTAGATGAGGTAATGAAAGCCCTCATGAAGGTCTTTCTCTGGCATATTCTTGAAGTTGAAGCCCCTCTTGATCTCATCCAGGGTGGAGTCCTGGGCACCCAGAGACAGCATGGAGAAGGCTGTGGAGATGCTCAAGGGGGAGAAGAAGATGTTCCTATTGGGGCTATTGGAGGCCAGCTTTCTATAAAGTTTGCAGCTGAAGTCTGTGTTTCGCTTTGTGAGCTCCTGGGCTGCCCTCCTTCCCTTCCATGACTGGATCTGGCTCACAGGTCCACGAAACTGTGGTCCCAGAGGGAAGTCGGACTTCAGAAGACCTTCCACGGTGAGAAGGCCAGCCAAAAGTAGGCCCAGGCCCAGCAAGGGGTTCATTTTCCTTGGAGATTGTCCTGTTGAGTAGTAGACTTGAGGTTAGCAGAAAAAAGGAACAAAACAATCCACTGCCCCTATGATGGAAAGAAAAAAATGGGGAGATATACGTGGTGACATCTTTGGAGTCCCTGGATCAAGCTTTACCTGAAGCTCACACACTTCTGTTTCTCCAAGTTATAAGAGCCAGTACATTTCCCTTTTAGGGTTGGCTGGCTTGAGTTGGATTTTTTTTCCTTACAACCAAAAGAATCCTGACTAATTTGCAGAAATAAAGCCCTTTGTCCAAGATCACATCCCAGGAGAACCCAGGTCTCTCATAAACCTCTTTCCCTATGCTTTTTCCAGGAAGAGAGGCAGTGTGATAGAGAGGAAAGGCCAAATCTGCTGCTTCCAGGACTGCTGCTCCTGTCGCCACTTCTCAGCTCAGAATCTCCCAATAAGACTGGGTTTTGGGGGCACATAACTTTCATTTTCGGTTTTCCCTTCATTTCTAGTCCTAAGGCTATAGAGATCTGCCAAAAGTATGATATTCTAAAAAGCCTGTTGATTTCTCTAGTTGGACATGGTACTGTCAATGATTTTTACACCAATTTATGTGTCAAATGAAAGCAGATTTTTTCGCTTGATCCTTTGTTATTACTATGGGTTCTCCTGTAATTTACATCTCTGTTTATATCCACGGGAAATAGTATGATCCTCAACGGTAAAAGCTGTTCATGGTTGTCTTAGATTGGATTCCCGAGAAGCAGAGCTTGAAATGGGGATTCAGGCATTGCCCGTATAGGAGAAACTTCTCAGGAAGTGAGGGAAGCAGGACAGAAAGGGAAGGAACTGAGCAAGGATCTGACCCCTTGTAATATGGAGACTTGGCCTGATCCACGGGAGAGGGCTCTGGAGCATCAACCACAGGGCAGCATCGACACTGTAGGATGAGGATACAGGCCTTTTGGACAGTGGTCAGTAGCTATGGTCTGCCCCCAGGAGACCTGGGGCCTGGGGTAGAACTTCCTGGGTTCAGTTAGCTCCTACTCACTGAAGGCAGTTTTCTGGATTGGGGAGGGAAGCTGTGAGCTGTTAGCAACTAACCCGCACATCACCACCAGCCTGGGGGAACTGGGCCCGGCACCAATAGGGTCCACGCAGCTAAATCCCTGGTGCCCAGCACGGAGTAGGCTCTTTCCAGTTGACTGAATGAGAGGATGAATGAACACCTGCATGGGACCTGTGCCTGGGAGTGCCCCAAATCCGCAAGTTCTTTGTGCCCTCAAACCCTCTATGCCAGGTCCTGTGGACACAGCCCTCAGCACAGAGGACAGGTTCTTCAAAGAGGCTCTGACCCAGGGTTTGAAAATTCTAGTGGATCTTACCCGTTGCTTCCATCTTCCTCATGAAACTTTATTTTTCTAGGTGTTTCCCCCTCCTTAGACTGCCCACGTGCCTCAGGGGCAGGGCCTCCTCCCCAGGTCCAAGGGGGTGGTTCAGGAGCTGGACCCAATCCAACCAGGTCACAGTGAGGTTCAGCCCCGAGAGCTGTTCAGGGAGGGGCACGGGACTTCAGGGATCCAAGGAAGGTGAATTTCGGGGCTCTTTGTTGGTGTATTGGGGTGCTGCGCTCTCTCTTTCTCTGGATGTCTGGGGCAGGAAGGTTGAATGCATGCAGGGCTTTGCAGAGAAACTGGAGCTGGGGCCACAGATTAGGTGAACCCAGAGCCCACCCACCCTACTTCTAGACTTCCAGCAGTGCTAGTGTGAGTTACATTGTCAGCTACACGAGGCCAAAAGCATCCTAACAAATACAAGTGTGTATTCAAAAAGTCCCAGGACTACCAAGCAGTGAGGACTCCGGGCTCTGCTCTCACATGCCTCTCTGCTGTATGACACTCAAAAAGGATGCCCCCTCTCTGAGCTTAGGTGATCTCTCAGCACCTTCCACTCCTAGTGACATAGATTTCAGTAAAAATTAAACGTAGCTGGTGATGGACAAGGGCTCTAGGGACTGTCTGAAGATAGGTTTTAGAAGGCAAGATTTGTAAAGCCCCTGAGGATGTTTCAGATAAAGGAAAGAAAATTAAAAATGGAAAGGATTCGATCTCTCAGGTTAGTGGGCTGGACTGTTTACAGAGTCGGCCTGGTTTAAAAATAGGAGCTTCACTTGTTGGGATGAGCCCTGGGTGTTGTACGGAAGTGATGAATCACGAAATCCTACTCCTGAAACCAATTTCACGCTATATGATTACTAGCTAGAATTTAAATAAAATTTGGGGGGAAAAATAAAAGAAATAAAAATAGAAGCTTGTATTCAGAGTAGACGGTGTCTGCCTGGGAACTAATTCCCAACACCCGGGAGTAGGGAAGCTAGCCGCCTCCGTCAAGGTACGGAGAGAACAATCTCAACAGTAGGTTCACCACCAGCCAGCGGAGATGCAAAGCCTTTGGGTAACCTGCTGGGAGCAGAGTGTGGGTCCAGGCACAGGGCCAGAACCCGCATAACCTGCAGCAGAGGAGGGAAGCTGCTGGAAGCTTCTGGCATGGACAGCACACCCACCCACCCACCCACACACACACCCACACACACATACACACACACACTGCTCGGTCAGTGGCCCCTAAAAGTGTTTTCTACTTCTCCAAGTTTTTGGAACAAGAACTGATTATGGAATTAAAAGTCTGGATATTGGTCCTCTCCTGCTTATGTGTCTGTGAGGTGGCCCAGAAGAAGTCTGTCAACCCTTTCGAGCCCCAGTGTCTTCATCTACTAAATGGGCAAGGGGAGTGATACTTTGGCCTCCTCCCCACTAGATGCTGCTAATCACCTCGCTGGCCCTGGCGGTGGAGACAAGGACCACATCCTGGCCGGGTCTCAGCTTACCCCGCCTCCTTGGGCTTGTGTCACGGGGCTCCCCACCAGCCCCCTGCCCTGTCCCACAGAGTCCCAACAGCCTGGCCTTTCTTCCCCCAAACAGCCCACACTAGCCCCATTTCTGGGCCTCTCCATTCGTCATCACAGGCTCTGAACTCGATTCAAACTTGTTAGATGGGTACCAGTCCCAAATGCCTGAGGAGGCTAACTTTTATTCCATTCATTAAAATAGCTGAGCAACTGGTTATTTCCCAGTAAATTGATAGACTGCCCACGTTGAGCAATTCTTTGTTGGTTTTTAGTTTGGAGTGTGTGCATGTGTGGGTGTGTGTTGTTGTCACCCTAATAAAATAAATAAACACAATCAGGAAGAAAAAGAACAAGATAGGACCTGAGCCTGGTGGGGGCCACATGGGGCAGATAAAGCTACCAACCGCCTTGCAGCTCGTCTCTGACTCTCCTGCTCCCACATTCCCTTTTCATTTGGGGAATTGATTCCTTTCTCTTATGAATAGATGAAATAATATGGCCCTGACTCAGGAGTCATTCCTCCTGAAGACAGATCCAAGCCGGGCGAGGAGCCCTCTGAAGGAGCGGCGTAGGCACCCTGGGTCTGCACGCGGAGGGGGTCTTCAGGGAGGGGCTCTGCTTTCACCTCCCACACCGTCCTGATGAGCTTCGTAATGGGAATCCGCCAATCGAAGAGACTGAGGTGGGGGAGAGAGGGATAGGCTAGCACTTTCAACAAGAGTCCTGGAAGTCCATTCATTCTTACTCTCACTGGTAGTTTGGGAAAACAAGACAGCAGCAAACAGAGCCCCGGAAGGAATCAGAACCACTCCGCACATGGCGGTTTGGGGCGAGGAAAAGCTCATGCAGTCTCGGTCCTCAAACCAGTGAGACTAAAAAGCTTAGGGTGCTCTGGACAGGTTCCCCTCCCCAGCGGCTTGAGCCCTAATGAGTGACTGCCAGCCAGCCACAGTGCCCCCTGCTCAGGGAGGGGCCTCTTCCTGCAAGGCTGGACAGTGGTGTCCTGTCCTGCCTTGAGGAACCCCAGAACTCCTGAGACCCAGGTTTCCCTCCAGTCCTTTCCAGAGCTCTCCATGGAGGGCACAGCCCTTGCATAAACTCAATGCCCTCCCTTGGACTACAGGGTTTGAGGCCCCTTCCTAAAGATGTGCCTTGGCACCCCAAAAGACCAGCACCAAAGCCCTGGGCTTGAGGACATCCCAGCTATGGGCTGGGATCCACCTATTTTAAAGGATTGATAATGTTTTAAGGGGAGATTGCGCTAGACATATTAGGATTATTTTTTGAAGCAGGTTTAGAACTAAGTGGTGGGAAGACATATCCTCCCTCCCCTGCTGGACGTGAGAGAAGACCCAGGAACAAAATCCAATGAGTATTGCAGTAGACTTTGTCCTCCTTCCTGGGAAACAAGGAGGGTGGGACACGAGTCAACAGTCTCACCTCTACATTTGCCCTGGAGATTTCTGTCTTCATCCTTTTAAGAAATATCTGGAGCCTTCACTATGTGCCCACCCTCAGCCTTCCCTGGACCCCACACGTGGAGCTCTCTCTCCTGGGGGTGATGTCCCCCGCCAGCCCCACAGACTTCTCCAAATCCTCATGCACTTTCCAGCTCTTTATCTGGCCCATTCCTCCTGCCTTCAGTGACTTCATTCCAGGATGAGGGATTGCATGGGTCGGAAAGGCTGAGCCACCATCAAGTTCAGGGCCACTCATGCCATAAAGGGGAAAGGGAGGCCCAGAAGACAAGGGAGCTATCTGAGGTCATGCCATGCATTTTGATGGATCAGAGTGGAAATCCAACTCATTAAGGCAATTCTGCAACAGTACGTGGGCCTGGCTGCTTGGCCTCCCTTTCTTCCCCAAAATCTTGAGTTGGTAGATATAGCTTCTGTCCTCAGGGAGAGATAAAGATAGACAAACAGCTCACAGACAAGGCTGGGCATAGCCTAAGCCACAGCGCAGGGGCAGACCTGAAGGGGAAGGACCCCCTTATCTCCCGGGACAACCCCCATTCCATTCTCACCAAGGATTTTCCTCTAGAAAAGCACTGGGGATCGACATCCATGAAAACGAATCAGGGCTCGCCAAAATGCCCAGCACACTCCTC